AGAGTCAGCGGCGACCAGGCCGGTAAACTGCCCAGTAAGGATTCAGAGTTAGGGGCGGCCAGAGGCTAAACTGCCCAGTAAGGATTCAGAGTCAGGGGCGGCCAGGCCGGTTGTGTCCCCCCGGGCTCTCCCGAGTAAGCGCCAGGAGCTCACTTGTCCAGTGCAGGCCGGGACGGTCCTCCCTGGATGTCTCTGCCTGCGCGTGTGATGAGACTGTGGAGGACCGCCCCTCCGGGAGCCCCCAGCCCCCCGTCCATCCAGCTGAGCGTCTCTGGGCTGAAAGGGGGTCAGACTTCCCAGGTGACGCACGCCGAGGGCGAGTGCTTAGATATTTAGTCTTTTGTTTAGATATTTAATCTTCTAAAGACAGCGTGCGCTATGCCTTCCAAGCTAAGTGACTCTGGCACGTTCTGATCACGTAACTGGGGAGCTGGCGGGCGGAAGTCAGGACGCAGAGTGGCCAGCCTCACCCTCGCGGGGAGCAGAGGCGCCTTCTCGGGGCGCGGGTTGGAGCTGGCGAGGACACGCTGCCCAGGCCTGCGTCTCTCACCCTCACGGCGGCCTGCAGTGCCCTGTCCATTCATTCGTGTCAGCGTTGCTTGATGTCGAATCCAGAGCCAGGAAGCTTTGCTCCCACTTCCCAGGGGTGCTCGCGTGGGATGCCAGCTGCTGGTGTTTTCCTGGGGAGGGGCTCGCCTGGGCCCGCTTCCCCAAATCCTCTCTCCGCAGTGACAGCCTCTCCCGCCTGGTGCCGTGTGGCGTGTGCGGGTCAGCTCCTCCCAGAACTGGGAGGTTGCCACGGTCACCCGTGCTGGAGGCCGCCCAGGGACTGGGAGAAGGGCTGGGGGCCTCCCTCCAGGCGGCTCCCTGCGCTTCCGGCCCTCCTCCCCTGGCCGCGGGAGCTTCTCTGGGCCTGCTCCCCCTTCCAGCTTCAGTCTCTTCCCCAGGCTGTCACCGTTGACCCTGTGGCTCAGGACTCTAGTTCCTGGCCTCTTGGCCAGACTCTGGCCCCAAAGGATAATAAGCTCCTTCCTGGTCGCCTCCCCGCTCTGTTCAGAGGGCCAGCTCCAGGCTCATGCTGCCGGCCGGACCACTGGAGAAGACCCCTGCTCCTGGAGGTCATGAGGACCCTGCACATGCTGGGTGTCCCAGGCCAGAGACAGGGGCACCCAGGCCCAGGGCTCCTTTCTGCAGATGCCGTTACTGTCAGAGGCCCATTTTCGGCCCCTGGTCCCCGCGTCTCCGCCCAGGCTCCCTGGGGGTCCAGTGCCGCCCACCAGCTCTGCTCTTGACTCCCACGGCTCCCTCTCAGCTGCTGCCAGAAGCCCAGCCCGCTGATGCCGCGGCCTCTGCAGACGGCCACATCTGCCCCTTGGGACGCTTTCCCCAGCCCCTGAAGCCCTGGGGCGCATACAAGCAGGCCCCCGGCGCCCCACCCACCGACCCTGTGGTTCCTTCCGTCCGTCTGCCGTCCACCGGTCCGGGCCCAGCCCCGCTTCCTCTCACTTCTAACGTTTACACACACACTGTGTCGTCTGCTCAAATAACTATACATACTCGCAGTGCAACGTGTCCTCGAGGTCAGGAGAACGTACAGAAGAGATTAGAAACTTGTAATTGCCACTGGAGTGGGTACATGTTGCTCAGAGACTGCAGGCGCATGCACGAGGAGGCTCGCGGTAGCTTTGCAGGCTCGGGGACGTGGCGTTTACCCTTCTTTACCTTCCCAAACTCTCTGGCGGCTCTGAGAATTTCCCCATCCCACTAACTCTCTGTAAGCAGCGTTTTACAGAGCCACGTGATGGCCGGCAGCATCGGGAAGTACAATGCATTCATTTAGCCTGTCTCCTGTGGCCCATATTGTGGCTTCCAGCTTTTCAGCACAATAAATAACAAACATCCTTGTTCCCTAACTCCAGCCCTTTGTTCTCTGCCTCCTATGATTCTATGATTTAGCTTTTGTTTTTTTTTTTTTTTTAAATAAAGCCGAGGCCATTGCCACTGATCAGGCTCCTCCTGGGAGCAGCCTCCGCCCCCTCTCCCCGAAGCCTCAGAGCCAACATGTGCCACGAGCTGTCGCTGCCCCGACTCACCGGCGAGGGGGTCAAGAGGTGCGACCAGGGGCCAACTTTGGTCCCTCTGCTTGGGACCCGGGGGCACCCAGACTCGGCCACGCAGGCACGGCGTGGACAGCGTCCTCTTCCTCCATCTCCCGCTGGACGGTGAGCGCCTCGGTGCGGGTCTCGGCTGATCGTCGCCGAGAGGAGGAAGGCGTCTCCGTGTATGGACGAAGACGCTGAGCGGCTTCAGCGGCTCCTCGGAGACCCCTGTGAGCTCTCCAGGGCCACCTGGGGCACTGGACCCTGCCCTGCGCGCTGAGCCCGCTCACGCTCCACCGATGGTTCAGCCGCTTCTGCCTCCGCGGTGGGGCAGTGCTGACGGTGCGTCACCGCTCAGAAGGGACTGCTGGACACGGGTGGCTTCCTGCAGCCCCGCAGCGACCACCCAGCAGGAGCTGGCCTCAGCAGGTCCGACTGGCGAGGAAGCAGACCTGGAGGGTCACGTGGGGCGGCCTGACCCTGCGGACGCCCAAGCCCAGAGGTGTGACGGCAGGAAGGCAGCCCCGGGGATTCAGTGGGACACTTCACAGGCAGCGCTGACCAGCGCGGTCAGCAGAACGGAGAGGCTGGCGCTCCGTGCCCCCGGCTGTGCTCAGGGAGCATGCCAGTGCCTCGCCCTCCTGCCCACAGCTTCCGGCCACGCTGCCCCCGCCCTCGCCCTGCCCATTGTCTGCGGGAAGCCAGGTTCCCAGGAGGCCCGTGCCGTTGGCTGAGCCAGGGTGAGTGGTTTCTCCCGGGCCCAATCAGCTGTGTTCGTTCTCGGGGCGGGCAGGGAGGGAGGACGTGATTGGCCTCCCTGGTGCCCAGAGCTGCCCTGGCTCAGCAGTCACCATGACAACAGAGGCCCCTGAGCCAGCCCCTGGCAGGCAGGGCTCCCCCAGCCCCCAGGCCGCAGAGTCCTGCCGACACATCTGTTCCTTGCATTTAGCAAACAAGTGGAGCCACGCAGCCCCAGAGCTGATCTTCACCAGGCTTCAGTGAAGACTTGGCTGGTCAACAGCCCATGACAAATCCAGCGGCTGCTGGGGTCTGGCCGTAACGGCAGCAGTATCCCGTTTTCAGAAGACTGCTGACATTCGGGGCCATCTGGGAAGATGTGGGGTGACCGTGGGGTTGGGGGGGCGGCAGGGGCAGCTGAGGATGCGTGGACGTTGCGTGGCTGAGCGCTAGTCCAGGTTGCTCTGGAGCCTGTTCGTCCCCGAGCACTCAGAACGGCCTTTCGTCAGGAGCAGAAGGACCCAGCCAGCCCCTGGCCCAGCCCTGGGTGACCTCTCGGGGGTTCCCAGCGCCGCCCTGGGACCGGGCGGCTGAGCTCTGTCCTGCTGATCTTCAGCCAGCTGCGGAGGTGGCTGTCACGTGCAGATCGCTGGGATGGCACCCAGGCTGCCAGGAAAGCCTGGTCGCCTGTCCCCTCTCGCGCGCGGCGTGGCGGGGTCGTGCTTGTCGCTCCGAGAATGGAGGTGGCCGCAGGCCAACGCTTCCAGAAGAGGCCCGTTTTCCACCGACGGTGACTCCCGCCCCTGCTGGGTGGAGCCAGACAGAAACCAGAGTGCTGCGTGGTGAGGTCAGATGCTCTTTGAGTTCCACCCAGTGAATCTCTGTTGTAACATCCAGATGTCAGCCCTATTTTGGGCAGATGTTCCGAGGAGCAGTGGATGATGACCTCACGGGGTGTGACCTAAAAGGACCTGTTGGCAGGCCTCTGAGAAGATCCAGCCTCCGGCTTCTAGCCCTCTGTCCAGGGCCCTTGAATTCAGAGCAGATGCAACGCCCCGGGCCCCCATGGGGGCCTCCCCTGGGCTGTGCAGCCTGGCAGGCTCAGTGTGCAGGATGGGCCTAGGGCCTCCAAGACAGCTTCCCCTGGGCAGAGCGCCGGGGCCCCCGCACTCGGGGTGCAGCCAGCCCGTGTGTCTCAACCTCTGTCCTCGTCTCAGAAGAGCACCTCAGAGCACGTGGCGATAACTCGCTGCAGGGCTGGAAAACAACCAGGTGGCGGCTGGGCCCGTGCAGACCTCGGCAGCGGCGGGCCGCAGGGCACAAATCCGACTTGAGGCTGCGGGACCTGGGGTGCGTCCAGTCCTGACCGCCAGTGAGCACTTTCTCAGGGCGCCTGCGGGTGTCCCTGTCACCATTCCTATTCCAGGCGCGCACAGGGTTCAGTGCGAAGGCGGCAAGCCCCGCCCCCTGCCCCCCGCCTGGAGGAGCGAGGTCCTGCTGAGCCCACTGGACACACCCGAAACGTGCTGGGTCCAAGCCGAGCCTCCACCCTGTGCAGGACACACCTGGACTCTGCATACTCAGTTCAAAAAAGAAGGAAAACTGTCCTCAGCAATGTTGACACTCGTACGGGCGTGTTTTACGCGGCCCCCAATTCACCTTTAGCCACTTGCATCTCGTGCACACGGCAGTGCTGGCGTCTCAGGAACACGAGTCGAAGAAACACAGGTCGGCTTCACCTGCGCCTGGGCTACTGGGCGTGGCACGCGCCCTGGACTCGGCTCTGCCTGGGCAAGCTGGACCGGCCCCTTCCCCAGCTGCCCGTGGGACGCCCCTTCCCCAGCTGGACCGGCCCCTTCCCCAGCTGGACCGGCCCCTTCCCCAGCTGCCCGTGGGACGCCCCTTCCCCAGCTGGACCGGCCCCTTCCCCAGCTGGACCGGCCCCTTCCCCAGCTGCCCGTGGGACGCCCCACGTCTCCTCGGTGACTCACAGGTACCCCGGGAGCGCTGCCGGTCCCAGGCCGCATCGGTGCTGAGCGGGAGGCGGCCTGGCGCCTGGAGTCCCAGCTTGCGGTTCATTAATTCTCCCTGGCTTGCCCCGTTTCCCCCACCCCGGCTCGCACGCCCCGTCTCCCCTCCTGCCGCCGGGACCCCCGCTGTCCAGTTCACGGTCCCCGCAGCAAACAGGTGTGGCCCGGCAGGTAGCAGGTCTGCCACTCGCCTCCCCTCGCTGGGCCCCCGGCGTCTGGCCGCCCCCTTCTCCCGCCTCCGCCATCTTGAACCCAGGCTGGGGGGCAGGTGCTCAGCCCCCCAGTTCACGCCTTCCACTGACCTTGTGAAAGAGGGAGTGGGATCGTTGGACCCGTGTGCTTTCAGGAAACCCACTTTTGTCCCACAGGCCCACACGCCGCTGGTGTCCGTTCGCAATCTCGGCGGTGTGGGGTCTGGAATCCGCCGTCGGTCTTTAAAAGCCGCGCCTGGCCGAGCGCCAGCTTGTGTCTGTTTCTCCTCTTGCCCCGCGGTGTCGCCTCTGGAAGGTGGGCCTCGGGCTCCCAGGGCAGCCTGGGGCTTGCACACACTAAAAGTGGGGTTCATGCGTCTCCCCCCCTTACCTTTATTCTGGGCTGCACTTTGTAGCTGCGTGTTCTCCCTTCTGGGGCTGAAGAGCATTTTCCTTGGAGAACTAGGACACGTAGCCTGTAGGTCTTTACTTTCCGGACCCCTCTGGGCCTGCGGGACCGACCAGCCCTTGCGTGGGGGCCTGCCCCTCCCTGGGTCCATCTCAAAGGCAGGCCGCGCCCGCAGCGTGTTGGTGACCGGGGCGGGGTCTGACTTCCTCTCACACGGGGCCGCCTTGCCCTCTGCGGCGGATGAGGCTGCCTGGTGAGCAGCAGCTCGGGGCACAGTGGGGGCCCCGAGGGATACGGGGTGAGCCCTTCCTGCCCCATGTGCCTCCTAGGGGCGAGTCCCACGGCGGGAGGAAGGCCGGAGCAAGGCTCTGCACGGGTTTCTAGACGGGCTGCGGTACCTGTGCGCCCCAGCCAGGTGTGCCTGTGCCCCCTCCCTCGCCCTGCGGCGGGGCTGAGCCCCGACTTCCTTCCCAGCCTGGCCAGGCAGGCGGGGCGCTGGTCAGCCAGCGGGAGCGTGGTCCCCACGGCCCCGTGCCCTGCGCAGATGTGTGGGAGCAGCCGGGGCGGCTCCCGCCTGCGGGCCCAGGACCTCGGCGGGTGGGAGGAGGGTGCGCGCCCGGCCTGGGAGGCTCAGCCTGTGGACAGTCCACACCGACAAGCTTCCGGCGGTGCCCGAGGCGCCCTGGCCGCGAGCTCCGTGGCACTGGGTCTCCGCCCGCAGCAGAGGCCCACGGTCACCCGCGGTCAGGGGTCAGCGGTCGTCCCTGCTCTCCCGCTGTGCTGCAGCCGGTGCAGGGTAAGTGTCCGGTGGGCGCCCGCCAGTGAGTGGGGCCCTTCTGGGGTCTCCCTCCTTACTTGGCTCTGGCCTCCCGGTTCACCCCGTGCTCGGGCATCCTGAGAGCCTCACCCCCACCCCCCTTCCCTCAGCAAACTGCAGGGAGGGCAAGGGGGGTGAGCTTGGCCTCGCCCTGCGGTGGGCTCACTTCGGGGCCTTGCTGCCCTGGGAAAAGGGCAGCCCGACTGCCCTTGAAATGAGCGGCTGGGGCTGGGCGGGGGGTTCACGAGCAGAGGGACCCTAGGGGTGCTGCGGCCCGCAGCAGGGCCCCCAAGGGAGGCCCAGGCAGCCCAGCTCCGTCGGTGCACGCGAAGAGTGGCACTCAGGGCAGGGGCGGCTGGACGCCTTCTCGGGGCTCCGGGGCCCCTCGGTTGTGGGAGTGCTGAGGCAGGGCCAGCGGGCACAGCCTCGATGATGCCAGAGGAGCCGTGTCCCCAGGCACCGAGGGGCCGCGCCCGCTGGGAAGCCCACTTGCTTCCTGTCCAGTACCGTGCTCACGTGGCTGGAGCCGGACGTTTCTGGTTCCAATGTTGTCTCCATCGCGAGTTTCTGCGGTCCCGGCTCAGGGGCTTCTGTAAAGTGTGGGTGGCAGTAACTCACGCACGGCGCTCCGCGAAGCACCCGAGACAGGGTGCCCCTTAATGAGTGACTTGGGGGGCACTGTGGCGTATGCAGCCTAGGACTGGTGAGCTGTTTCTGAGGTCTCTGCAGAGTCGGGGTGACGTCTCCACGGCCACCAAAAAGGAGATGGCCCCGGCTCACAGCAGCCTGTGCCCCTCACCCCAGGTCCGGGGATCCCAGGGTTCCAGAGTCAGCCCCTTGCGTAGAAGAATCCTTTCGGACTTCACATCCTCCTGAGTTACCCGTGGACCGGCCCTGGGGCTGAAGGTGAATGTCCCTATCACGTCCCTCCAGGGTGGTGGCGCCCTGCCCTCCTGCCCCAGAAGGCCCACCTCCCCTTGCTGCAGGGCGCAGCGTGTTCCAGAAGGACCAATTCTCACTCGCCTTCCTTCACACCGGGCTCTGAGGTGCTACTTTGATCAGAAGCGCAGAGAGGACCAACTATAGAGGACAGATGCGCTATCCTTCGGCAGAGGCTGAGATGACGTGGAAAATAGGTTTGGGCTCACCCTGTAGGCTGGACGCGCCCCCATCCGTTCCGGGGAGGGGCAAGGCTTCCCAGTCACCTCCCTGCCTCTACCCTCTCACCAGTCTCCCACACCACCAGATCTCAGGGAGGCCCCAGCTAGCAGCTGGCACAGGATCCCAGGGACAAAAGGCCGTGCCCCTTTCTAGATGGAGTTGCGTATTTAATTGAAAGTAGATGCCTTAAAATGCCTCAGCACATTTGGGTCGAGACTTTCTTGGACTCAGAGATTCTCCTTGGGGGGCAGGTGGAGGCATCTTACCTTGGTGGAAGGTGACACGTAGGTGCCCTGTGACTGGGGGGGGCTGGCTCGGGCTACAGCCTGTCCAGGTCGGACCGGGACGGCTTCTCTGGACAGCGCAGG